GTAGATTTTGTATCACTTAATTAAATTAATTACAATATAATAATTGAACGGTAGATTTTGTATTACTTAATTAAATCAATTACAATATGACAGATGAGCAGTAGATTTTGTACTACTTAATTAATTACAATATGATAGTTGAGCAGCAAATTTTGTACTACTTAATTAAATTAATTACAATATGATAGTTGAGCAGTAGATTTTATACTATTTAATTAGATTAATTACAATATGATAGTTGAGCAGTAGATTTTGTAGTACTTAATTAAATTAGTTATAACTTATCTGATAAATCAAATAAGAGATAAATCAAGTGATTTTATTCTTTTTTAAACTTTACCTATCAAATTTCTTTTTCAAATAATTTTTTCAAATTTCAAGCAAAAATTTTTCAAATATTTTTAAATAAGAAATGTAAATTTTAGGTAAAACAAATGATATTTACCTAGAACAAATACATCCAATAGAAACAGAAGTAATCTGCGCAAATGCTAATGGTAAATTACCATGATCGGCTATTGGTAATACTTTCACATAAATTCGTCGTTGTTGACCCTAAAAATGGCATATGATTTATGATAATTACATTTAAATTTAGGAAATTCAATGAGGAAAATGATTTATCAGTATTTTTATCAGTTATTCTTTTTGATAATACTAACAGAATTTTAAGTTCAACAAAAAGGAATTATCATTTCTCTGATTAAGTTATGCTTAATATTATAAAAATCAAAATTTTTATTCCATAATTTTTTAAAAATGCTCTTTTTATTTATTATTATATTAATTAATCACCTGATTACCAATTTAATTAACCTAACTTGTTTTATTATTAATTGTTACTTTGCATTTACCTGCTTCAATTGATATATACCACCGGTAAGTATTTCATTAGAAGGACGTACTTCTACCGAAACATACTGACCATTATCATTAATTTCTTTAATGTCAACATGAAGCTCAATACGTCTTGTCACTTCAGACCATCGTTCCTGAAAACGATAAACGGAATAATTTTATTGTTGACATTTTTATTTCCGATTATAATTTTCCATTTATAATATTACTTCATATTGTCAACATAGATTCTGTGATTTCTATGCTACAACATATAATAGATCATTTAAGGTCATTTTTAATCCTAATATTTTTATTTCGAATGATTTGTATAAACAGGGATGGTACTAGTACTAAAAATTATTAGTTCTAGTAACATCGTAATATCATAATTAGCATTTCGATTCATCTGAAATTATAACATGATCTTTGTACTATTTAAGGATTAGAATTTTACTTGTACCTGTAAACTTTTATAACTTTGTTCAACATCAATGATTCCATTTGCAACTGTAGATGATATAAAATCATTCCCAAAACCACTACTTCGATGACCCCAAACTTCAATCGATAAAGCATCTTCTTGAATATATTCCAAAAATTCTTCCGTCACAACTACACAAAAATCCTAAAAATTTAGGAATTCTAATTTTTTTTTATTTGATATACGATAAGAATATGGTAGAAATTATCAACTGATCCTTTATCAATTGATCCAATTGATTCTTTATCAATTGATCCAACTGATTCCTTATCAACTAATCCAACTGATCCTTCCATTCTTTTTTTTTTTTCTACCAATCATCTAGAGTAAAATCATGCAAAAATCATTTAGCAAAAAACACAAACTGCATTTAACTTTTTTACAAACAGATAAATTATTAATTTTTCTTTAACGATTTAATTAATTAGAGGAAATGCTAAATTTTCTCTAATTTTTGATAACCGAATAATTTATAATAGATTTTAATTAATTTTAACCAAATTAACAAATCATTTAATTTAAAGTAATTATTTGTAAAGTAAATGATGATAATAACGAAACCTTTTCATGATCGAATTGAAAATTAGAATTGGATGAAATATCAACATGATCTGATTGTGATATATTTGGATCAAAGATTGGAGCAACAACCAAAATTTC